GAGAGAGAGAGAGAGAGAGAGAGAGAGAGAGAGAGAGAGAGAGAGAGAGAGAGAGAGAGACATGGAAAATGTAGAGGATATGGTACTGGGTCTGGGGGAGGGGGAGGGGGAGGTTAGTGCAGAACTTGATGGTGCAACTTCGTTTTAGTCTGATTATGAAGATCAGTGTTAAGTTCCTGTTTCCTTGTTAGAAAACGCTGTTTCCTTAACTCGTTAGGGGAGGTCCATTTCACGTGCATGCTCATTAGGAAAGCTCATGGTAGACATCTGACGACGTTTGTGTCCATGGATGACGCTTGCTCCTTTAAACTCATTTGCAGCAGCAGCTGTTTGATTCGCTGCATTAGGAAAGCTCATTGTTTGCATGCTCATTAGGAAAGTCCTGATCTGTCCGCTGCACTTGTACAGTGTCCGAAATGGCAATGGAACATTGTGTACAGACTTGATTTGGTCGATCACGGCTGGTGCTCCTGTGGAAAGTCCTAATACGCTTCTTTGCTCAATTATGTACTCAATCGCCACAGATGATTTTCTTCGTGTATGTTTGCGATTAATTTCGGCACCGCACTTCATGCGTGGCACCATCAACTTGAAGGATTCGGACTGTGCTTTGCACATGGGCTGATTTGACAGTAGACAGTGGCCTATGATGAGCCTGATGACTGTTTGCATGCTAAAAATAACCTAAGTCTTTTATCCTAAAAATTGCCCAAGTCTTGCATTCTAAAAATAGCCTAAGCCATAGGATGCACGCCACATCAAGTATCTATGGCCAGAGGAAAGAAGATGGAAATGGAGTGGGACAAATGCTGTGTGAGTGTGTGTGTGTGTGTGTGTTTTGTTCGCTATACACAACTCCACAAAAAAGCATGACAGCGCCAGACAGTTTGGTCGGACTGTGTGTCTGTTTATCTGTCTGTCTATCTTTCTGTGTGTGTGTGTGTGTGTGTGTGTGTGTGTGTCTTGGGGGATAAGACCATCACCAGGGCATCACAGCGGGTTGTGATGCAAGTCGTGTCCACGGCATGCCTAGACGACACTCGGAAAAAAGTTTCACGAGTAATGTAAAGAAAAACACAGTAGGGTGGAGACAGACTGTTTCGTCGGACTGGCACCGACTCATCAGGAGGGTGACCCCTCGAAAATCTGCAGAATCCCCCCAAATTGCTAGGCTACCAGAGTGGCCGGGGAACACTTGCCCGGCCGGGCCAATAAATATATATATGTATATTACAGTATATATATACATATATAGCCCCTCGTTTGTTGTCCTCTTCTCCCTCTCTGCCTACGGTTTACCGGGCAGTTCTATTTGACGATATATATGCGAGGCCACTGCCTCTATGAGCCCCATAAGGCCCCATTTTGCAGCCCGCCGGCCGCCCTAAGTGAAGGCAGGCTCGACGAGGCCCTCAGCGCCCTATTCTGGCCACCACGCAACTCAGGGAAATTCAGGCAGTTGCGCAGCGCCAGTTGGTTGAGTGAACCCAGGCCCTGGGCCGCCTGTGTGAATGTATGTGAAGCAGGCCCTGGGCTGGATACGGGTACTGGGCCAAACACAGGCCAAAGGCAGTTGGGCGCATGCAACCACCTCAGGCCCAAGGCCTGTTTTCATCGTGCTGGGCCTCAGGCTACCGGGGCCTACTGGAAGCTTCCTGGGACTGGACGCAGGCAGGTCACTTCGATATAGCAAAGGGCCTGCCTCCGCATTCGGCATTCGGGTGCTGGCTGCATGCTGCACAAGCGCTGCTGCGCTATCTGCTGGCTGGCGCCCACGCTCTCACGGGCGAGCAGGGAAGGAGCACGCAGTCATAGCCGAGCTGCGCTGCTGTAAGCTGGGTGAGACGCAGGGTGGTCCTTGGGTGCTAGTGGCATCTGTGTGTTGGGGAACGAGGCTGTGAGTGTGGCGAGAGACATACCTGGTGCTGGAAGCGTGCGACATTGGTCGCYRKWTGCTCGTACTTCGGGAAWGYTGTTGACGTCATCTTTCGGYATCRTAGTRYAGGCTAGATAGGATCTGCCACATGTAGTCTGGGCGCCGAGTGCCAGATAGGATATCAACTCTGGYTCTTCGTTGATGATGATGGGACTATTTCAGCATTGTCAATTATGAGCTCTTGGTGTGTTCTTATTTGGTGAATCTCGTGATGCAATTCTGCTGTTGGTTCGAGGTCACGACTATCTGGACTCATATGTGTGATGCTGTTTGATTGCTGAAGTTCGCTATTGCTCATCTTCCTTGCATATATATAATTTTTTGTAAATTTTATTTTGATTTTTTTGTTAAAAATTGGTAAATAATTTTTATTCTAGGGGAAATTTGTCTGGTGCCTCTGTAATTTGCATTATTTTGCACCGCGCCCGTCCGACGGACCACTTAATACCCTGTCCTGCACCTGGGGCCTCTGAACTTTCCTGTATGCCCCTGTCAGCAAGGGGAGCAGCTTTCCGCGGTGCCCTTACTGGACGACCAGTCCGATTTCACCGGTCCCTGTGTGATATGCCCTCGTCAGCGGCATGCATCTTTCCGTCGTGCCCTTGCGCCGGAAATTCGGATTTGAAGCACATGGTTTTTGTGGTGCTGCCACAAAAAACAATTGTGTGTGTGTGTGTGTGTGTGTGTGTGTGTGTGTGTGTGTGTGTGTGTGTGTGTGTGAGAGAGAGAGAGAGAGAGAGAGAGAGAGAGAGAGNGAGAGAGAGAGAGAGAGAGAGAGAGAGAGAGAGAGAGAGAGAGAGAGAGAGAGAGAGAGAGAAATGAAGTGGCTGCCATGAACAAAGCCATAGAGGTGCGCTGAAAAGATGCACCCTACCGGTAGGGGCATTTGTGCTGGTACTCAACAGCTATCCGGTAGGGGCATACTGCAAATTTGGAACGGGTACCGGTAGGGGCATAACAAAAATATTTCAGGCCCAACCGACACCATGGTTATATGGGAAATTTGAATCCTGGTCAGATTGGTGCGACAGGGTAAATCGGCTGTGGGAGGGGTGCAGTGCAAAATAATGGAATTACAGGGGCACCAGAATTTTTTTTCCTTTTTTTATTACCATTATTTTTAACCAAAAAACCATCCTTTTGATTATAGCAGGGCCCAATGCCCAAGGCGATACACAAAACCACCAATGGGGATCAGTCAGGTTGTCCTACTCCGCCCGGAGCTCGGAGCTCCCCCCCACAAAGAGGTTACACACCCCACAAAACGTGACCCTAAGGCAAAAGTTGTTCAGTTTATTTTTCTGCATAACATAGTTTTTTTTTCGGATTTTTTTTCTGTTTCGTTTTTTGCTGGGAACTTCCCTCTTCCTTGCACAGCCAGGCCGTCCGCGCAAACAAGGTGACCCGGGCGGCGTGGCTGGTAGCTCAGCCGTATCGATGATTTTAGTCAAGAGCTCCTTTAATTGCTCTTGTAACTTGGAAGTCGACGGCCAGCAGGTGAAGCAGCAAGGCGAGGGCGAGGCAACAAGGCACAGGACCACTAGCAGCAGCAAGTTGCATAGGCTGAAGGTCAGGAAGGTGGGTGGAAGGTGGGTGGGAAGACAAGCACCAAGGCAAGCAGGAGCATGACACTATGAGCAGCAGAGCGACAGCAAGGCACTGGGGGGCAAGAGAAACAGACCACATCGTCCTGCGAGGTAGGCACCCCTGAATTAGAGCTGATTGGGCGGACCGCAATACGCAAGTGGTGATGACCCACATCGGAAACGCAACGTCCACCATGAAATTGCGTTGAGGGGGGGGCGGGCAGGCCGTCAACAAGGCAAGCAGCAGGGCACACTAGGAGCGCAGGCAACATGCCAGTGAAGCAACAAGGCAACGAGGCAACAAGCACCCCTGGCAAGGAAGCCAATCGACAAGGCAAGCAGCAGGCGGCACGACAAACCGGCAGCGAGGCAGCAAGGCAGTACCAACAAGGCAGCACCAACAATTGAGTAGCACGGAAAGACCAAGCAAGCAGATGGTGTAGGCTGAAGGGCATGGGGGAGGTGGGTGGGCAGACAAACGACAAGGCAAGCAGGAGCATGCTACTATGAGCAGCAGGCAACAAGGCACTCAAGGGCGAGAAAGAGACCATATCGTCCTACGAGGTAGGCACCCCCGAATTACGGCTGATTGGGCGGACCGTCATGTGCAATCCGTCATGACCCACATCTGGAACGCAATGTCCGACCACAAAATTGCATTGGCTATTCTATACCATTGGCTATTCTATACCGGAAAGCTTTTATGTCGGCAAAAGGCACATAGGCTGGAGGGTACGGGGGGTGGGTGGGTAGCCAAACATGAATGCAAGCAGCAGGGCGCCACTATGAGCGGCAGGCAAGAGGCCAGTGAAGCAAACAAGGCAGTCAGGCAACAACCGCCCCTGACATGGCCGCCAATCGACAAGGCAAGCATCAGGTAGCAAGGAAAAATGGCAAGATGCAGCAAGGCAGCACCAACAAGGCAGACCAGCAATCGAGTAGCACGGAAAAATGAACACCAAAGCAGCAGGGCAACAATGTAGCAAGGCAACACGGCAGTGAGGCAAGTACGCAGCGAGGCGACATGGCAGTGAGGCAACAAGGCAGCCACACTGGCAGAGCGAACAAGCCAGCAGCGTGGAAAGGTCAAGCAAGCCGATGAAAAACAAGACAGCAAGGCATGTAAGCATTGAGGCAACAAGGGAGCACAGCACAAGACAGCTGAATAACGAGTCATGCGGCAGGGCAGAGGGGCAACAAGGCAGGCGGGGAGCGTGGAAAGACCAGGCGAGCGGATGAACAACAAGATGGGGAGGCAGCGCAGACAAGGCAGTCCACGCATCCAACACGGAGCAAAGCAGCCCATCACCTACGCGCACCACAGACCGTAGATTCACACCACCATCAGAGTCAGGGAGTCAGCTTGACAAACGCCTTTCATCACCCAGAGAACACAGACACAGGCAGCCCCAACCCATCAGCCCCCCTAATGGTGTTGCAACAACAGCAGACTACCTGGCATAACTGTTTGGCACATCTTCGAGGTGCTCACTTACACAGGAGAGAAAATACTTGAAAAGAAGGAAATAAGTATATACCTACTTATGGAGAGAAAATACTTGAAAAGATGGAAAGAAGTATATACCAACATATGATTGTGTGTGTGTGTGTGTGCGTGTGTGTGTGTGTGTGTGTGTGTGTGTGTGTGTGTGTGTGTGTGTGTGTGTGTGTCTGTTGTTGTGTTCACTATACACAACTCCACGAGAAAAGCACGACTGTGCCAGACTGTTTTGTCGGACTTTCACTGACTCATCAGGTGTCTGTGAGTGTTTGCGAGGATGAGGGGTTTGTGAGCAATTGAACTGCAGCATGTTGCATCGAAAAGTATGGTTATAAAGAACACTTGAAAAAGAGAGCCGGCAGCCAGATTGAAAGCGTTCGGCGGCTTCGGCCGACAGGCAACACGACAAGGCAGCGAGCCAAAAAGCCGCAAGGCCAAAGGCAGCAGACAAGAGAAGTACAAGTACCAAAAAAAGAACGCATCGCGGAACGAAACAAAACTGAACTGTTGTCAAGTCCACAAGACTTAGTGTTGAATGACTCGTCATTTGGGAAGAGTCTCTTTCACTTGCGCTGCTGGTTGGGTTTAACGGGTACCTGTAGCTTAAGGGAGGTCACCTAGTAGTTGTTTAGGTGGCACTGAAGGCATGACTGAAGCGCTCGGGACTGCAAGCCTTCAGCCCCCCAGTACCTCTG